GACGCGGCCGTTAACGAGCGTGCCGGGCCTCGGGAAAGGTCTGGGAGCGGGGTTCAGAGCCCGCCGGTGCCGTTCGTACCGCTCCCGGGAGCGCATGAGGCCCAGGGATCCCAGGAGCTGCCCTGCACCGCGGTAAAGTGCCGTGCTGTAACAACTGGTATTCTTCTTTTCTAGCTTCTCAAGGGTGTTTTGAATGTCTTGACAAAATCTTGCTGGTTCCCAACAAATTTTTTAGCTCCAGACACAACTTTCGAAACAGATCTATCACATGAAGCTTGACGTTGGTTTTCGCTCTGACATCTGGTGGGAAATAGCAGTCATTAAGACAACTCAATACTCCCCTCAGCAATAGTGTCACGATGGTTATAAGGCCTCTTCAGAAAGTATAAAAATTCGTGTTTTGAAAAACTTTTGGATTTAAGGAATTAGTTCATCTTTAGAAGTTGCTACCTTCCTTATACTTCAAAAGACAGAGTCACATTGATACCTCCTTCCCTCCTGGCATCTGGGATTGTTTGTGATTCTGCTAGCCTGCAATTAAAAAACATACTTTAGATGTTCTGGGCACATTTTTTTTAAGGATGTTGGAATGCATTTTTTTCTTGTAAGGTGTATGGAAAAAATGAAGTTTCTGAGAAAAATATGGGAAAGTGATGTTGTCAGCTATGGCAACGGATGATAGGTTTGAGCTCCCTAGTCTAAAAAAAGTTGTTGCCTAGCCTTCAGTATGAGAGTCACCATCAACTCTCACTAACTTGCCTGTGAGCGTGCAGCAAACCACACAGGAGTGGGTCCTCCCAGTGTTCTGCAAACATATGCCTGGAGTATTATGCTGCTGTTCCTTGTACGAGGTCATCTGGATTTAGAGTCAGATCCTACTGGGGTGCTCCTCCTGAAGTCAGAGAGGAGGGAGACCACCTATTGCTGTTCAGGTTGGGACTGATTTTGCATTAGACAAGACAGCTGAGTGAATTCATGCAATAAAGTCATCCTGACTAACGATCAGAATCAACACAGTCACATCTCGGAAAAAGAGCAGAGACATGCTTTGTATTTTTGCTGCCAAGTTAAAAAAATACTGATTTAATTAACACATTAAAACATCTTTTGTTTTTTGCCAAAACAAACATTTAGAAGTTTGGGGTTTTTTTGGGTTTTGTTTTTTGTTGGGTTTTTTTTGTTTGTTTGGGTTTTTTTTGTTTTTTGTGAAGGCAAGGCCTTTATTTGCTTGGGAGCCTCTGTGGTCCCTGAGGAGTGCTGTCAGACAGTAAGAAACATCTCCCTGCCTCAGAGGACACCTCTGAGTTACCAGCTATTATGCTGTAGTGGGTGGCCAGTTGGTGGCCCAAGGAGAGAACAGGGCAGTTCTAACTGGCCACTGGAAACACTACCATGTGCTGGGTGGAACCAGCCTAGGGCTGTCGCTGAGCTGAAGCTAATGAGCAGCTTTATGGGAACAAGATGCTTGGAAACTCTGCTGGCTCTCCGAGGAGCTGCCTCCTGCTGTGCTGGGGCTATCACCCATCCACAGCAAACCAACCTGCTGGTGGAGAGGAGCAGAGCAGTTGTGTTTGTGTGGCATGGCGTCTGAGAAACAAACTGAGACACATCTGCCTACCCACCCTCGTGGCCTCTCCCAATTACTGTGCCCTTTACCTCACCCTTCTTTAGAGCCCCTTCCGTATATCTCATACCTGCTGCTTTAAATGTCCTTGCAATATTCCCTGAAGGATGTCCCATAGCACCTGTCGCTATCCAGGGTGTCCTTCCCTCTCATTGTGCTGTTGAGGAACTGACAATTGGTAATAGGGATCCAGCCTCCAAATAACCAGGGGGAAAATTAGTTCTGAGCCTCAACTGTTATCATTCCTGGGTTATCTGTAATGCTGTTCAGTTAGCGCTACTTGCTTTGCACAAATATTAGTTGGAGCAGGACAGGAACCCAGGTGTCATCTCTCCCAGGTAAGAGTTCCTATCATCAGGCCAGGTAAGAGCATGTCTCACTCAAGAAATAGTTACTTGATACAAGATGGATCAGTTCCAGTGGGAAGGAACTGAGGGAGATCTGTTCTAGCAGGGCTAGAACGCTTGCTAGAGAGGTGTGACACTGGTTCATCTTCTCTGCTCAGATCCATGTACTGCCCACCTGAAATATTCCATTAAAGTATGGTTTAATAGAACAAATCATTTTACCTTTCAATTACAGGGGCTTTTGATAGACATCTGCAGGGAGCGTTAAAACAATATTAAATAGTTTTGATAGCGTAGAGAGAAATAGCAGATGGAACCTGGCAATGTGAAGAAACTTGTTACATGTTGGGTGGGGTGCCTTCGGGGGCAGGAGCCACCCCTTCCTCTGTAGTTTGTCATGAAGCACAAAAAGCAGATGGTGAAGATGGTATGGGTTACCTAACTGGGCTGTCCAGATGAAGTTAGCAAGCACTGCAATGTGTTGAAATAGAGGGGGCAGGAGAGCATTCTGTCTGACTTTGAAAAGATGCCAAAAACTAGTGGAAAAATTCAGTTGTTAGAGGCAATCTAACAAGAGCTGTATACTCATTGAGGGCTAGAGAAATCCTGTATTTAAAAATAAAGCTGAGACAAAGCCAGTATATGCTCCAAGAGAAGCATACACTTGCATCTTGACTAAAAATGTCTGTGCAATCACACATGCACCAGCTACTGCAACTGGCCCTGCCAGCCTGGTATTTGTGCAGAGTGACATCTTGTTAGTGGTATACTCAGTTCAACTACTGAACCAAATTGCTTATTGAGTCAGAATCTAAGACTTAGTGTGGTTTGCAAAAGTTGCTTTAAGAGTTGAAATCAGGAAAATACTAAATAGATTTAGCTATGCAGATGTCAAAAAGAGGTGATGGGTCTCCTTCTGCCCTGAAATATGAAAAGTTTTCTTGATAGGAGGGGTATGGGTGTAACTCACACATCTTCTTCACTTGTTTTAAGTGAGAAGACTTCGCAGGGACAGAGAATGTTAATTTTGAGTAACATTCAAGCCAAACTCACTAGGCTTTTCTGTGAATGTTACTGAACCACACTCTGCAGCTGCATCTTGTTCTGACTCTCTCATTATGGAAGAAAATTTGCAATTGATCTAGACAGTAGAATTTTAACTGTTTTAATGATACGCTAGCAGAAGGTAAAACAGCAACTCAGACTGCTGAGAAAAACAAACAAGAACAGTAAACAGCTGATGAACCTGTGAGTTTAGAATGACCGGTGACACACAGCAGCTCCTTTACAAACATCTCACCACATCCATTCATCAGCTAGGCACAGGAGTACAGTTATCCATCTCTCATGCCGTTACTGATGCAAGCCATAAGCCCTGGGTTGGGCACTGCAGGTACTGGGGGGCCAGCATTGCCCACCACTAACTTCAACTGCTTGCTTTCCCAGCTGGTCCTCTTGAGGATGGGCAAGGAGGATGGTGAACACTGGTTGTATGATACTGCATGTACATAGGTGACAGGCTGCACCGTTGCAATGCAGGCTGATCTTGGAGTAGGATCGTTTTATGCCAGTTAGATACTTTTCTTTAACACGACAAGAAATCAACACTCTTTTGACTGATAGCTGAGTACTTTTCACTGGAACCACAGGTTGGTGTTTCAGGAACTTGAACAACCCTGTTGCCCTTCCCCTCTTCTCTCCCAAACTTCTCTCCCAGACATCTCGGAGGTCATCCCGTGAGATGGGAAGAGAAGGGCAGCAGCTGTTAGCCTTGCCAGGGCCGTGTCCCTGCAGCAGCTGTGGTGTCCTCCTCCTTGTGCCACCATGAGGGTCAGGAGCAGGCTGACCCGCAGCAGCATGAGAACATGAGTCAGGTGAGAGGGTGTCCTGCTCATGGGGTCTGTCTGTCCACTGGAGAGCGGACACTGACCGGTGCAGGAGCTACAGCAGGGGAATGTATTTTGTGGACGAGTCAGCTGTGGCTGCTGTCTTCCTATGGGTGCCAACAGTCCCGTTTTTGCCATGTAGTGATTCTCATATTGCCATCACCCTGCGTTCCTGTCCCACCTGCTCATCACAGTACTGTTACAGGCTTAGCTTGTCTCACCTTGTTTGTGGTTGAAGGGGTTCCTTTAACATCACTCAGTCACACTACCTTTTTCCATAGATCTTTTTTTTTTACACTCAGTACTAATGAGACCTTAGAACAGTCATCAATTTGGACATCATCTTCAAAAGCAAGTGAAATGATCTCAGAGCAGATAAAAGCACTAGAAGATGCTGTAAGATGGTTGAGGAAAGGTGGGCAGTCTGAGCACTCTCACTCCAGAAAAAAGAGACCAGAGAGGAATTTGTGTGTACACTCAGAGGGATGGTCTGAAGAGAACAAGGATCAAGTACTCCTGTTGGTCAAGAGTCAGGCTGTTAATAGGTTTAAGCTGCAGAAAGAAAACTCCAGTCTGAAAATTAAGAAAATTATATAACTGGAGGAAAAGTTAGACAGTGGAACCTGTTGCCAAGACAGAGGTTGTGAAACTGGAGATATTCAAGGCTAGGCTAGACACCCATCCATCAGGGATGGCTTTGGAATAACTGAGTAAAGCCAGTGAACAATGCAAACAGCTTGACTAGATGACCCAGTAACAGTCCCTTCCAATCCAAATACGTTTGAGAGGCTTCTGAAATGTAGTTGGCAGCTTGTCCACTTCCAGCACAGTTGTGATGTGTTGTTGCCAGATGTGCCGTCAGTACCTTATGCTAAAGCCAGTCATGTATAGGATTGTAGCTGAACTCAGCACCTTTAATAGCATTTTTTTTTCCTACTAGGTTCACCTTGCCCTTAATCCATGTGAATACCTGTTGGAAAGACCTTCTAGAAACATAAGTTTTCAGTCTCCTAATACATTCTGCTGTGTCCAAGAAGAGCCTGTCCAAATGAGCAAGACATCCCAACAGAACACTGCTACAGATGCGAACGGAGTAAGCGTGATTCACACCCAAGCACACACTAGTGGTTTGCAGCAGGTTCCCCAGCTGGTGCCCGTTAGTCCTGGTGGTGGAGGCAAAGCTGTGCCTCCGAGCAAACAGGGAAAGAAAAATTCCTTTCTGGATAGAAACAGTGATGAGTATCGTCAGCGCAGAGAGCGAAACAACATGGCAGTGAAAAAGAGCCGGTTAAAAAGCAAGCAGAAAGCACAAGACACGCTGCAAAGGGTCAACCAACTCAAAGAAGAAAATGAACGTTTAGAGGCAAAAATTAAGCTCCTGACCAAGGAGCTGAGCGTACTGAAAGACTTGTTCCTTGAGCATGCGCACAATCTTGCAGACAATGTGCAACCTGTTGGCACTGAAACCACCACAACAAATCCAGAAAACAATGGACAGTAGACACCGTTGCAACCTTATGAAATGGACTCTCGAGGTGCAGCTTGTCTGCAGTGCCCATGCAGTAACCAAGGAAAAACTGTTCTTTTAACCATCATTTTGTGGAGATTTTCTTCTTTTTAGGTTTAACACTGAAGATTTGATACAATTAAACTAGAAACTGCTTAGGGTATTTGTTTTAAATATTTTTCTCCTCTAAAAGATGTATCTAATAAGCGCAGATCTAAAATCATAGTCAACAAGGAACTCAATACTGGGGAAATAGCATTTTCACAGAAGTGTTCACTTACCTTCTTATAGTTTGTGTAATGGGAAGAATCCAGCAGGATGGTTCGCTGTAGTATCAGAAACTCATCATTGGATAAAATGTCTTTTGAATATCTTTGAGTGTATTTAAGCCCTTTGTTTTCTCCATTACATATTACAAAACTGCGAAGGCCATGGAGGGCGTTTGTTTTCCTGTTTGGTGGACTACTTTAAATCTGTAGAGCGAGTCCTATAAAGCACCACTTAGGTCTTTCCTGTCCTGTTATAGTTAATGGGGAGGGTGTAGTAATAGTGAGCTGGGATGCTTACTGATGTTTTCTAGAAAAATAGCACTATACTATGATGATATGTACAGACAGTTGGCTTCCAAATGGCAAATGAGTCTGCAGCATCATGTACAACAGGTAAAACAACACACTGACAAAGCCTTTCAAGCCTGCGTTCATACGTTAACATTGCTCATGTAGTGACTGGGGCCTTATGAGAACAAGATTTTGGGTTTCAGAAAATGTCAAAATGCTACCAAAAACCTGTGCTCTGCAAAATTGCATTCTTGCTGAGGTGCAGGTATCAGGGAGAACAAAATGTGCAGCTTGGCTAGCAACAAAAGGGGTAAGGCAGCATCTGTTCAGCCAGAGTGTATGGATCACTGCTCATTGACATTCATCTCTATTTTTATGGCTGTTCAGATTTTCAACCAAGATCTTACAGAAATTCAGTGATTTTAAAAATAAATGGCCCTAGTTTGAATAACTGATTCAGTGGAATTTCTATAGCCATCATACAGTTGTGTGAAGGAGTATCTTCAGTCTTGTTTTATTTTCATAAAAGTTTTTCTATAGTAACTTTTTTAATGCTAGTGCTAAGTCTTTGCCATGATCCATAATGCAGTGGTATGTACTATACTGAGGATTTAAACAATAAAAGTAAAGCAGGAACTTTGATGTAACCTTAATTTATTTTCATTTTTAAATATTTCATTGATGGTATGGTTGTGTTACATATAACCTGTGTGTCTGGCTAGTGGATTATTACACTGTCTTAATTTCTCTCCTATGCTACCTTTTTCCATAGATTATTTTGTAGGATGCTTGTTTGCCTTGTATCTGTACTTAGGAAGAGAACTTGGATATTATCTCTATGAAGATGCTGTTAGAAAATGAAACCCTGAAAAGTTCTTTTTTGAATTTAAACTTCAAATACATGCGGAAAACTTTTATGGATTGTTTTGGATTATGGTAGTCTTTTTACAAAGATAAGTTTTTTGGTTCTAGCTGCAGCTTAAGTAGGTAGGGTTGAAATATCAGAAGCTAATAAAAACCTTTTGCTTCTAATGCTGGCCTCATTTTTCCTGTCCCTTTTCTATTTCCCTCAAATGCAGAGCTGCCCATCTCAAGCAGCTATCTTTGAGGAATCATTGCAACAGTCTCCATTCCCATCTTCCACTCAGGTCTCTACTCAATGGAAAGAATCAGAAACCTATTACAGTTTTGGCTGAATTCCCAATTCAAAAACAGTAACAAAAAGCCATTTAATACTGAAAATGTACTGCATTAAGGGGGGGAACAAAACATCAAAAACTACCAAGGAAAAAGATGACCTGAAAGTATCTCATTTGTTAACTGTGCACCTACTCCGGTGCAAAAGGCAAGAGCTGGTCTCTTCCCTGGTTGTCTGCCCTGTGAACTTGGACTGTGTGGCCCTGTTGCACTGTGGTTGGTTTGACAGCTGATGTGGGGTCCTCCCTGGTAACTAGAATAGCGGCTCTGAATCTGGTATTTCTTCGTGATTTTGGTGAAAATTATTTAAATCTCTTTGAGTGGGAGTAATATTCTTTCTGATGCTCCGGAGGGTGACTTCTCCACCTGTCACTCCTGACAGCTCCAATTCCACTTCCTTCTTGTTTAAAACAAAACCACTGAGTTATGAAAAGTCATTTGTTTGCACAATAACATTTCTGGCTTAGCCATCTCCGTGCTTGCTGTTTGCCTAGGGAAGCACGTAGGCTGTGCGCAGCACATCACTTTAGTATGTGATGCCGTGGACCCAATATTATAACAAATTCTATTTTAAGTCTACCCTCAGTGGGAGTTTGGTTGCAAGAAAGGTGTTAGTCTGTTATTTTAAGCCCCCTCCTGCCACAATAGCTGTCTCTCATGCCCTAGAGCAAAGGCAGAGGCAAGGCTTTCCCTCTCTTTGCGCCAAGGTGGAGTAGCCCAGGCTGTGTGACACCAAAATGCCTCAATCTTACCCCTCCACTGCAAGGCACAGGAGGACACTCGTACTGAGGTGACTTGGGTGAGTCTCTCTTCCCCGTAAGGGAAGGCTGCAATAAATACACATCTACACAAGAAAATGCCAGTGTAGGCCTATAAAAGTTAAGGTTTTCCTTTTGACACATTTTTTTCTTAACAGCAACTACAGTTGTGACAGAATACCATGCCTGTCACTACAAGAAGGAGCGTTACAGCACCGTACGTTTCACCAGGAAACCTTATTCCCACTTTCCCACAGTATCAGGAAGAGGTGTCTACGCTAGCCCCCATGAGCACCGGGAGGCTCCACCACTTTAACTGCACCCCATAGCTGCAGCAGCGTAACTGGTACGGGTGATAAAGCCAGAGTGCATCCAGCCCCAGGGAGCTGCAGCAATTCACCTGTGTCAGTTCAGAAGTGCTCAGGCCTTTCTAAACACACAAACACAAACTTGCTCAACA